GAATAACAAGGAGCCCTTCCTTCCCAGGGTGTCAGTGGAGGTGAGCAGGGAATATGGACTTGCACTCCCATTTGCAGTAATGAGATGGTGCCTTGTTGCCACATTGTCAGAGGAAGCCAGCTAATAATATACAGTCTTATAATATCCCCAAATGTTCAGGATACAATAGAAAACCATTTGTCATGCCAAGAAACAGGAAAATATTGACTTCAATTAAATTTTAAAAAAAAGATATGCAACTATCTGGATGCTGGTAGCCCAAACCTATAATCCTAGCTACTCAGGAGTCTGAGGATCACAGTTTGAAGCCAGTCTGAGCAGGAAAATCCATGAGACTTTTATATCCAATTAGCCACTAAAAATTTGGGAGTGAAGCCAGGCTCCAGCAGCTCATGTCTGTAATCCTAGCTATTCAGGAGGCTGAGATTTGAGGATTGTGGTTCAAAGCCAACCCAGGCAGGGAAGTCCATGAGACTCATCTCCAATTAACCACCAGAAAACCAGAAGTGGTGGTGTGGCTCCAGTGGTAGAGGGCTCACCTTGAGCTGAAGAGCTGAGGAACAGTGCCCAGGCCCAGAGTTCAAGCCCTACAACTGACAAAAAAAAAGAATTATTTAGGAAGAATTTTCTTGTGTGCCAGTACTAGGGCTTGCATTAAGAGCCTGTGCGCTCACCCATAGCTTTTTCACTCAAAGCTAGTGCTCTACCACTTGAGCCACAGCTCCACTTGTGGCTTTTTGGTGGTTAATTGTTGTTAAGAGTCTTAGACTTCTGCCCAGGCTGACTTTAAACCAAAATCCTCAGATCTCAGCCTCCTGAATAGCTATGATTATAGGTGTGAACAACCTGGCTACAAGCTTATCCGTTTTCATTGTACTTGAGATATTTAGAAGGACCAAAATTATCTATACCCTAAGTGAGATCTCAAAATGGCACTTTCCAACTGGACACTGGTGGCTCATGCCTGTAATCCTAGTTACTTAGAACACTGAAATCTGGAATACTGAGGTTTGATGCCAGCCTGAAAAGTCCAAGAGATTACAACTCCCATTAATCATAAAAATACTGAGCTTGAAGGTATGGCTCAAGTGGTACAGTACCAACCATGAGCAATCAAGCCAAGCAAGAGTGTGAGGCTCTGAGATTAAGTCCTAGTATGGGCACAAAAAACAGTACTACTTCCTGCTTTCCTGTCCCCTCCCCTGCAGATTGAAGACAGGGCCTCACATGCCAAGCACATAACTCACCACTAAATTATTTTCCTAGCCCCTGACCCTTTTTCAAACTATTATCAGATTTAGAGATACAATGTGCATATGGTAATATTCCCACATTTATGTGCACAATTCTACGATTTTTTTGACACTTGGAATCACACCCACATCTTCACATCTGTTAAGCGCATGCTCTACCACTGAACCACACATCCAAATGAATACCACCATTGTAGTTAACATATATAACATTTCCATCATCAGGAAAGGTCCCCTTTTGTACCTCTGTAGTCAGTCTTTTCACCCTCTCTCCTTCCTTGGCATTCACTCATGTTTTTCTGTCCCCATAGTTTTGTCTTGTCCAGAATTTCCTATAAATGGAGTTATGTGTCTTTCTTTTGAGAATTGCCCAAGTCGTTGCCTTTATCAATAGTACATTCCTATGTGTTATGTATGTTCACTGTATTCATGTATACCCATTTGTTAATTCACCAATTGAAGTGTATTTGGGTTATTGCCAGTTTGGGACCATTATGAAAAAAAAAAGCTTCTAGGTACAGGTTTTTGTTTGGATACAGGTTTTCTTTATCTTGAGTAAATACCTAGGGGTGGGATTTCAATGGGACAGGGCAGATTCCTAAGAATCTTCCTAACTCTTTTTCAAGTAAGTATACCATTTTTCCTTCCCACCAGCAGTATATGAGACTTCTAGTTCTTCTATATCCTCCCTCTATTGTTACTTATTAAAAAAACGTTTTAGTGCACAAGTTGATCTCACTGTGGTGTTTGTTTGGTTTTGTTTTTTTGAGACAGGGTCTTATGTGGCCCCAGCTAGCCTCAAACTCATGGTCCTCCTGTCTCAGGCCTCCCCAAGGGTTGGGATTACAAGTGTCTACCACCATGACCATCTTTTAGGATGGTTTTAATATGCATTTCCCAGGTGATTAATAATGTAGAGCATTGTTTCATTGCTGAATTAATATTCACAGCAAGTGTATGTATGTTCAAGTTTTTTTGTATTGTAAGCTGGATCGTTTGCATTCTTCTTATTGAGTTTTAAGAACCAATTTACACTTAAATGCTGGATACCAATCTTTTGGCAGATATCTACATTTCAAGTAATTTTCCTAGTCTATGGCCTGGCTTTTCATTTTCAGTATATTTTTGTGTTCTTGTCCTACAGCTTAACCTCAGGGTTTGGATGCTGTTCCTGGGCTTTTTTTTTTTTTTTTTTGGTTGGTCATGGGGCTTGAACTCTGGGTCTGGGCACTGTCCCTCAGCTCTTCAGCTCAAAGCTAGTGCTCTACCACTTGAGCCACAGTGCCGGTTCCAGTTTTATGGTGATTTATTGGAGATAAGAGTCTCACAGACTTTCCTGCCCAGGTTGCCTTTGAACCGCAATCCTCAGATCTCAGCCTCTTATGTAACTAGGATTACAGGTGTGAGCCACCGGTACCCAGCTACCTGGTGCTTTTTTTTTGGGGGGGGGTCCAGTCGTGGGGCCTGAACTCTGGGCCTGGGCGCTGTCCCTCAGCTCTTCAGCTCAAGGCTAGCACTCTACCACTTGAGCCACAGTGCCACTTCTGGCTTTTTTCTTTTTGCTTATGTGGTGCTGAGGAATCGAACCCAGGGCCTCATGCATGCAAGGCAAGCACTCTACCACTGAGCCACCTTCCCAGCCCACCTGGTGCTTTTTTGCTGAAGGCTAGTGTTCTACCACTTGAGCCACAGCTCCACTCCTTGTTTTTTTGGTGATGAATTAGAGATAAGAGTCTCATGGACTTTCCTGCCTAGGTAGGCTTCAAACCATGATCCTCAAATCTCAGCCTCCTAACTAGCTAGGATTACAGGTATGAAAAACACTGGTTCCTGGCTTCATTTTCAATATTTTTTTAAAGAGCAAAAATTTAAATTTGGCTAAGTCTGGTGCATCAAAATTTTCTGTATAGGTCATAATTTATATGAATATCTATGAGATACTGCCTAAAGTAGTAAGATTTTTCTACTTTTCTTCTATGAATTTTACAGCTTTATATTTTACACATTTAAGTCTATGGTCCATTTTGCATTTGTGTGTGGGGGGAGTGGGTAGGTGGGGGGTAGGGAGGTAGGAGGGGTATGCACGCACGTGTGCACACACTGGTACCAGGGCTTGAACTCAAGGACTTTTTGCTCTAGCTCAGCTTGCTTACTGACAGTTGGCACTCTACCACTTAAGCCATGCTTCCAGTTTAGCATTTTGTGGGTTAATTGCAGATGGAGTCCCATGGATTTTTCTGCCTAGGCTAGCTTTGAACTGCAATCCTCTAGGTCACCACTTTCTTAGAATAACAAGTGTGATATCAGCTCCTGCCTTGCACTGATTTTTATATGTAACTACTAGTATTTCCAAGGCTCTCCTAGTTATATAATTACATCTGATCATCATCTTTTAAAAAACTGTGAAGGTTGGGCAGGGAATGTAGCTCATTGGTAGAGTGCTTACCTAGTGTGTATAATTTCCTAAGTTCAGTTCACAAACTGGCAGAAAAAAGAAACAGACTTTCAGGAAGGCACTACAGAAATTTGAATCCCCATTTCATAGATGAGAAAACTGATAAGAAAAGTGCTATGATTCCTCAAAGTCCCACAGCAGGTTAGAGGTGAAGTTCCAATGGAAGTTTAAGTATGCAGTTGTCCATGGACAGTAGTTTTGGAGACAGGCAGTTAGGGCTTAGCAAAGTGGAGATTTGCAGGGGGAATCTGAGCAAGCTATTTGGCACTAAGATACGAGACATAGGTGGTAGAATAAGTCCTTAGGGCACTCATTTTGCACTCCTCCAGCCTACTTGGGGCTCTACCACTGAAGGCAGACAGAAGCTGGCCCAGTGCCTTGCTCAGATGACACTCAATGAATGTTTGTTTTATTTTTATGGCGATGATGAAGACTTGGAACATGTTCAGAGGATAACTTTGAAAAATAATTAGATTTAGAAATTAAAACTAAGAAAAAAGTTAAAGGTACTAAGCTTATTTAGCCTGGTAAAGTGGTTCAAGATGAAACTCAGTAACAGAAAAAAGTTTTTAAAAAAACTTGAGGTGGCCAGGTGCTGGTGGCTCCTGCCTGTAATCCTAGCTACTCAGGAGTCTGAGATCTGATGATCACAGTTCAAAGACAACCCAGGCGGGAAAGTCTGTGAGACTCTTATCTCCAATAAACCACCAGAAAACTGGATGTATCACTGTAGCTCAAGTGGTAGAGCGCCCAGGCCCAGCGTTCAAGCCCCACGACTGACAAAAAACAACAACAACAACAACAACAAAAACAACTTGGGTTTTCTTTCTGGGGACTGAGAAGGCAAAACAGGTTGGAAAAAAATCTAAGGGGCAAATATCTTTCTCCTGATAAGGAAAATGAGTTGGGAGCTGGTGGCTCATACCTGTCATTTTAGCTTCTCAGGAGACTGAGATCTGAGGATTAAGCTCAGGCAGGCAAATCCAAGATGCTAATTAACCACCAAAAAGCTGAAAGTAGAGCTGTAACTCAAATGGTAGTGTGCCATCCTGGAACAGAAAAAGCCAAAGTGAGATTTTGAGGCCTCTGAGGCTTCAATCTCCCCCCACCCCCTACCCCCCCGACCCTTTTAGCTAGCTTCTATTTACACCCCTCTCCAACCATCAGGGACCAACAGGCTGACAGTGCTGACCAATGCCTCTGCTGAAAAGTCAAGAGAAGAACTGAGTTACCAGCAACTTCCCTAAGCATCATGGTAAATAACAATACTTTTGTGCTTCTGTTCTCTGCAGCCTGGGTAGGGGCCCTGGCGATGGGTATGATCTTCTTCTGTTCTCCTATTGTGAGTATATTCACTGACCGTTTGGGCTGTCGCATCACAGCAACTGCCGGGGCTGCTGTTGCTTTCATCGGCCTCCACACCAGCTCCTTCACCAGGTAAGGCTAGGAGTTGCTGGCAATTTCCCCAAGGCTGAGGATTGGCTTCTTTCTGGGATCAGCTAGAAACACGATACTCATTGCAGAATCCCCTGGAGCCAAGGCTATGTAGGGCCCTCAAAGACTCCGTTCCCAGAATTCCTCATGCAGTGGGAATCATGTAGGTAGGATCTTCAGGACACATTTGTAGAGAATATCCCTAAGAGCTCCAAAATGGTGGGAGCAGCCTGGTAGGTCTTGGAGCTGAGTCCAAGCCAAGTTTTGGCCACTGGATAATGGCTAGTGAACAATGAATGAGTACCCTTCCCCTCTCTGGGCCTCAAGTTTTCTATCTATCAATGAGAGGATTACACCAGAGGGTTTTGTCATGTCTCTCTAGCTCACGTAGCTTACATCTCATGATCTTGCTCTCCCACCTAGAAATGGGCTGCTTGAATGAGCATATGTGAGCACCTAGCATTCCAGGATTCCCAAAGCAACTTATATTGCCAAATGCTGGTGGCTTACATCTGCAATCCTAGCTACTCAAGAAGCTGACATCTGAGGATTGCAGTTCAAAGCCAGCCCAGCCAGGAAAGTCTTATGCCCAATTAACTACTAAAAAAAAAGAGCCAGAAATGGAGTTATGGCTCAGGGACAGCACTCAGGTCCTGAGTTCAAACTCCAACACTGGCACCAAAAAAAGGAACTTATGCTTACACAAAAGTCAGTTGAGCCCAAGGCTATTTAGCATGTCCCATCCCTTTCTGAGGGATCTCTGTGAACCAATGGTGATTTAGAAAAAAAATAGCAGGAAAAGGATGCTTAGCCCCATTAGGTGTAGGCTAAACATAAACCCTGGCAGAACTTGGTAGTGTTATGTGAAAAGGCACTACCTGTTCTTACACTTGCTTTCCTTCTAGCCTAGCAGAAGCTTATTGTAAGGGAGAGGGTAATAAAGAGCCTACACCATGAGCTCCTTTAGTAATGTAGGACTTTCAGCTAGACCCTTTGCAAGTTATGGTACCTGCTACTTGCACCCTGCCTGGGCTAATATAGGAAGGAGCATGCTGGCCTGGAGACACAGAAGTGGCCACAGTGACCTGTGTGGAGGAGAGGCAGAACTACCTTGCTTTCTGAATTTGACTCCCCAGAGAAGGGCCCTGCCTGTCTAGGCCTAAGTTTCCACTCACAGTGGAGAGTAACTGTGTTCTGCTTTGACTGGGCCCTACGGGGTGAGCCAGCTTTCTCTATGATTTGAATGGTTCTGGCTGCCTCATCTGCCCTCCAGCAGAGCTTCGATTTGGCATGCAATGGTTTCTTGGCTCCATCCCAGCTAACTGGGACAGAGGAGGAGGGAAAACCATGTCCTGCCTGGAACCTGTTTAGTACCCTCTTCTTCAAACCTTTTCAGGACTCCACTGAGGGTCAACCTCATTTGTCCCACCACTCCCCTATTAGGCTAGTGCCTGGCTCCTTGCGTGGGAAGGAGCTAGGCATCAGAAGCAGCTACAGGGCTGGGAAGGTAGCTCAGCGGTAGAGTGCATGCCTTGCAAGAAGCAGCTACAGTCTCTCAGGGCTTCGTAACCCAGGACTGTTTCTTGAGGCGGAGCAGAGCAAAGTGTAAACAAATTAGCAACATATGGATCTCATTTCCCTTCCCCTCCACATGGACTCTGTCACAGGAGGGAAGGAAGCTCAGAGGTGGTGGTTTCTTCTGGCACTCTTCTTTAAGCACATTGGAGTAGGCGTTCTGTCCTCCGCCCCTGACCGCCCCCCCCTCCCCTACCCCATTTGCTCTTTCTGTAAGAACATTTCAGAGCCAAGAACGTTTCATGTCCAGTGGCCGGGTGGAGAAGGCAGGGAGGAGGGAAGAAAAGGTTTTGCCTGTGGCTAAAGCTCCAAGTCATCCTTCCTGTTGGGTTGTTGTCTTGAAGGCTGTGAGTTCTTTTGGATGATGTGGAATGGGGAAGAGGACAGACAGGGTTGGCAAACACAGCTCAGGAGCCTCCTTGCTGGGGCCCAGCTAGAAACAGATTCACCACAAAGCACGCTGGTTTGAATCCCATATTTTGTCCCTATGCCCTTCTACTTGAAGTCTAGTCCCTTTCCTTTAGATAAAGCCCCAGCCCAAGCCAATCCCATAAAGTATCCAGAATCAAATGGGAGAAGAGCCCAAAAGACAAGATAGAGGAGGAGGAGGTAGTTTAGCTCCTTTTGAAATTTCAAATGAAAACCCTTGTTCAGGTCCAGTGACTACAAGCAGATGGAAAGCACCAGTGATAAGAATTATCTTGGAATCATGGGAGCGAGTATCACCTTGTCTCTACAGCATAGGCTTTGTCTTTTAAGGTGCAGAACTGGGTCTGTATCTGGGAAAGAACTGCCTGACCCAAAAGAATATTGGGTAATTTAGTGGTCAGATAAGAACTCTTGCAAAACACATGGAGGCATCAAAAAGCAAAACAAAAGTCTTCATTAGGTTGTGCCAAAATTGTGTGTGGGGGGGGCGGTAAATGGGTATCCAAGTTGAACTTTCATGGCCTTTCCCCTTCTGACATTTTACTTGCTGTTAAAGAGACTTATGGCACAGTAGGGCCTCAGAGTTTGAAGCCAGGACCTGTTTATTTAGCCAGGCCACAACTTTAAGGCTCCTCCTCCTCCTCTCAAGTCTCCAGGTTATAGAGAAAATGAATCTCTACCATGTTCAGCAATAATAGCAGGATTTGGGAAATAAAAGGGACTTTTTACACTAGGGTCTTCATGGAGATCACCTAGGGTTTGGGCTAAAGACCTTGGGATATCTTAATCCTGGGCAAAGTTGGGGAGGAGTATCTCTTAAGAGACTATCGGTCATTTTCTGAAATATTAAGAGTCCTGAACATTGAGAAAGATGCTGAAGGGCCCTATGCAGGGTCTTAAACTTTCAAGGTTTTAGATTCTTTTTTTTCTTGACTTTTGTTATTGCCTGAGATAAACCATTGGCCTTTAGCCTATCCATAGTATCTAGGTGAGCAATCAGGTGAAATTGTGTGTGTTTGTGTGTGTGCGCGCACGTGCACACGTGTATGCACCAGTCTTGAGGCTTTAACCCAGGGCCTGGGTGCTGTCCCTAAGCTTTGTTTTTTTGCTCAAGACTGGTACTCTACTACTTGAGCCACAGCTCTACTTTTGGCTTTTTGCTAGTTAATTGGAGATAAGAGTCTCATGGACTTTCCTGCCCCATCTGGTTTCAAACCATGAATCACCGACAACAGCCTCTAGAATAGCCAGGATTACAGATGTGAGCCACTGGTGCCCAGCTTTCTGGTGAAACTATTCTAATGTGCTCTCTCATCTAGCCACTGCGAAGGTTGGCTCTGGCTTTCTTTCCAGCTTTCCTCTTTTATGGGCTGCTTTGATTCATATTCCAAGCACACAGACCTGGATTCAAGTTCAAGCCTTTTTTGATCCCCAGTTATATTTGGGGGAAAAATAGCTCTCAGGGTCTTTGCTTCCCCATATGCAAATAGGGTTCAAAAGGCTCCATTCCTTACCTGCTCACAAGGTCAGTGGTAAGTCGGGCTGTGGGGTAAGGGTGGAGTTAAGAGGCTAAATAGAGGGTGGAGACAGATTTCTGGTCAGGCTGTTGAGGATAGCTCTTGGTGTCTCTCCCACAGCTCCCTAAGCCTGCGCTACTTCACCTATGGGATTCTCTTTGGTTGTGGCTGTTCCTTCGCCTTTCAACCATCCCTCGTCATCCTCGGACACTACTTCCAACGCCGCCTGGGTCTGGCCAATGGTGTGGTGTCTGCTGGCAGTAGCGTCTTCTCCATGTCCTTCCCCTTCCTCATCAAAATGCTGGGGGATAAGATCAAGCTGGCCCAAACCTTCCAGGTGCTGAGTACCTTCATGTTTGTTCTTATGCTGCTTTCACTCACCTACCGGCCCCTCCTGCCCAGCTCTCAAGACACCCCAAGCAAGAGAGGTGTCCGTACTCTGCAACAACGCTTTCTGGCTCAGCTCAGGAAGTACTTCAACATGCGAGTGTTCCGCCAACGCACCTACCGCATCTGGGCCTTCGGCATTGCTGCTGCCGCCCTGGGTTACTTCGTTCCCTATGTACACCTGGTGAGGAAGACTAGGGTGGGCGGGGTGGGCGGGCCCACTCCATCTGGCCCCAAGAAGCTGTCCTCAACCTGCAAGGAGTCCAGAGGTTGGGGGTAGAGGGCATGGAAAGGGCAGAGCTGAGATCTTTAGAAAAATAAAACAGTGATTAGAGATATGGGGGGGGGGGAGAGCACAGGTTAAGGGAAAATTTCAATGGAAAACAAAAGGGGTTTCTAAGAGAAAGACCTATGAACCACAGCCTCCTCCATGATAAAAAAAAAAGGTTGATTTTTTTTAAAAGAAGAGATAAATATAGCATCCATGCATGTGTGTGCAAGGAACTGGCTCAGATACCCCCAAATAGCCTTTGTAAAGACTATGATCAATGAAGGCTGATCTTTCTGATCAAAAATGACTTTGTTTAGGAATGAGATTGCTGTACTTCATAATGTGTAGTAATCTCTTTAAGGCCATAATGAGTCTTGCAGTAAAGTCATTCATTTAGGAGCCAGGTGCCAGTGACTCATACCTGTAATTCTAGCTACTCAGGAGGCTGAGATCTGAGGACCAGAGTTTAAAACCAGCAAAACATTGTGTGAGACTTATCTTCAGTTAACCAGAAAAAATCTGGAAGTGGAGCTGTGACTCAAGTGGTAGAGTTCCAGCCTTGAGAAAAAAAACAAGCTAAGGGACAGTGCCCAAGCCCTTGAGATGAAGCGCTAGTACCAGCACCAAAAAGACTATAATTCCAGCTACTCAGAAGCCGAGTCCAAGGCTTCTGAGTCCCCAGGCAAAAACATGAGACTCTATCTGAAAAATAATTAAAGCAAACATGGCTGAGAATATTGCCTCAAGTGGTAGAACATCTGCCTAATGAGTGTGATGCCTGAGTTCATACCCCAGTCCCACACAAAAGAAACTTGTCTGGCCACAAATTGTTCATTGTAGATAAGTTTGCATTCTCCACAGACTTCAAAAATCTGTGTGTGTGTGTGTGTGTGTGTGTGTGTGTGTACACATATGCATCCATGCATGTGTGTGGAATTGTGGAATTAACCCAGGTCCTTGTGCACATTAAGCACATGCTCTACCACTGAGCTACACCTTCATCCCTTAAACTTTGTGTTCCTTAAAACACACACGGGAGAATTGCATAGAACTTCTCCCCTGGCAGTCGGATGTTGCCCCTGCCTATCAGTGTGGAATGAGGAAGTGGAGAGATGGTAGAGCAATCTCTGGATTTTTCTTAGATGTTAAGGCTGTGTTCTGTCCTATCAGGAGTTAAAGGGGGTTCAGAGATACTGATCTCCCTTCAACTCTTCCTCAAAAGCCTAAATTCCAAAGAGTCAGGGGTAAGCTGTCTTTAGTGGATGTTAAGAATGACCAAAGAATTGAATCTAGACTTGAGGTTACATGGAATGTATTCTGTCCTGGCCCAGGGAAGTGAAAACTAGAGGGTCCTATGCTAACAGTCCATTAGTCAACTCCTCTTCCTCCATCGGTTTTGGGGGTCTCTCTGTTATGCCTTTCAGATGAAGTATGTAGAAGAAGAGTTCTTGGAAATCAAGGAGACCTGGGTGCTGTTGGTGTGTATAGGGGCTACCTCAGGCCTTGGGCGTCTTGTGTCTGGCCATGTTAGTGACTCCATTCCTGGACTAAAGAAGATCTACTTGCAGGTGAGTAGGACTACTCATGTACTATCTGGAATATTAGGTTGTCCCCAGGCTTTGGTGGTAGGATGTATCATTGCAGTTACCTGGACCTCAGCTCTGACATCAACTACGTGCAACATAGAAAAGTTAGTCAAGTTAGCTTTCCAACAAAGGCAACTAACTATTCTTGTTCTGCCTCCTTTACCAAGATGGAGTTCATATTCAGTGACAGCAGTAGTGTGTGGAATCTCTTAGACAAGAAGTCTCTCCCCCCCCACATCCAGTTCTGGGGCTTGAACTCAGGGCCTAGGTGCTGTCCTTAAGCTTTTTTTTTTGTTTTTGCTCAAGGTTAGCACTCTACCATTTGAACCACAGCTCCACTCCCAGCTTTTTGGTGTTTCATTGGAGATAAGAGTCTCACATGCTTTTCTGCATAAACTAGCTTTGAACCATGATCCTCAGATCTCAGCTTCCTAAGTAGCTGGGATTACAGGTGTGAGCCAGTGGCACCTGGCTTGTCTGGAAATTCCTTTCTGCAAGTGGGACTCTGACACCAGAAGGTTGATGGTGCCACCGTACGAACTGATTTCATTGCTACATTACACTGTCTCAGAGGGCCTGTGAGTCAGTGTATCTCTCCTCTAGGTCCAGACCCAGGCCCATTACTTCTCATATTTCCAGAGCTGTTTGGCATCCAATATTGGTTCTCAAATACTATCCACCAAAAAGATCCCAGCAAAAGCCAGACCTCTCTAGTCCTCATTGTGTAATGAAAAGAATTCTTCTTTCCTATCTCACCTTACAAGTGAAGATCAAAAGAGCCATAGGTGTGGCAAGTTTTAATCATTTGGATACAGACACCTTCTATGTGATGGGGTTCTGGTCTGATTTGTTAGTTTTCCTCTACCTGACAGCAATATTACCTCCCTGACCTCCTAGCTTATGCTTTTTCCTCTTGTGGCTGGTCTTACCTGGAGGTGTAGCAGAGCAGCAGAGGCAGAACTAAGCTCCTGTGTAAGGCTTTTCTCACAGTCTACCTTTGTCTAAGTGATGCATGGAAGAGCTGGGACTTACACTTTGATGAAGGTCAAATCAAGAGGCTTCTGATTGAGAGAACCCAATTGCAAAAGTTTGAATTACTGTGCAAAAATCACTAAATGCTTTTATCTGGATGGCTTTTTCCATGGAAGTATGTGCACTCTCCCTGTCTCTTTCACAGCCACCCCTACCCCCACCCCATAGGTCTCCTCTGCCAGTATTAGCTGCTTCAAGATGCCAAAGGGTTCTGCAAAGGGGATCTGGCACTGGGCCACAACTTTATCTTGAGGAGAGGCAGCAGCCCCTGCCCAGCCTGTACAGTGGGAGTTCAAAGGGTCAGGGAGGCATGTCTATTTAGACAATGAGCCAGGCTAGGACTCGGGGCTTCTGCTCACTTTCCCCACCCACCTTATATTCCTGCCCTTTTCCTTACTCACACTTGGCCCAATTTTACCACTCAGAATAATACAAAATAATCTTAAGCCATTATACCTGAAACCTTTAACACCAATGTGTAGTCCAGCTCCCTTATTTTTACAAATTCTGTGTCTTAGGACAAGAGAACAAGACAAAGGATAAACTTCTTTCTCTTTGGTTTCTTGGTATCCTTGATCACAGGAATTGGCCTCCTTTCCACTCTGGGTCAAATGTGGATGCACAGGCCTCAGGTTCTGAAGAGCCATTCACTTGGTTCCTATGAGGGGTAAAGACAAGTACAAGTGGCTGGCATCTCACCCTTGTACAATCTGCTGGCAAAATAGGCTCACTTTGAGACCATTTTTGAGGCCACATTCACAGTTCCAAGAGGGACTTAAAATTATTATTATTATTATTATTGGGCTGGGAAGGTGGCTCAGTGGTAGAGTGCTTGCCTTGCATGCATGAGGTTTGATTCCTCAGTACCACATAAACAGAAAAAGATGGAAGTGGTGCTGTGGCTCAAGTGGTAGAGTGCTAGCCTTGAGCTGCAGAGCTGAGGGACAGCACCCAGGCCCAGAGTTCAGGTCCCACAACCAACCCAAAAAATTATTATTATGTATCAGTTGTATAACAAGGGGTTTCAGTGTGGCATTTCCATATGTGCAAACAATGTACCCCATCAACCTCACGTCTTTCATCCTTCTCCCTCACCTCACCTCTCCCCTTAAAACAATTTCAACAGGTGTCATTGTTCTATTTGCATACATGTATATAAAATATTTCATCTATATTCTTCCTCATTCTCCCTCGCCATGTATCTTCCCCCTCCTACTGGTACCTATTCTCTAACAGAGCCTGTTTTCCAGGAGACATTTTAAATTTCCAAACCTTGGAAAGGCCTCTTAGAGGATGCTAAGAGATAGCTAGATACAACAGGTAACAATTATAGCTGATTAAAATCAGTTCAGTGTTAACTTCTAATTACCATAATGAGCTGGTTGATAGATAGGTCTGGTTTTATCTCATAGTTGTCTGTGAATCTCCTAGAGGAAAAGAAAATGTAGGTGACTAGCTTCGGTTTCACTACTTGAAAATAGCCTGGGTAGAACTACCAACACCCCTCAGTCCTAACTCTCAATATTAATGGACTTAACTCTCTAATTAAGTGACAGATTGTCTAGTTGGATCAAAAAGCAAGATCCTTCTATCTGCTGCCTTCAGGAGACACACCTTGCCCACAAAAACAAACATATCCTGAAAGGCTGGAATAAAATCTACCAAGCAAACAGCAGCCCCCATAAACAGGCAGACGTTGCAATCCTAATATCAGATAAAATAGACTTCAAATTAAAATTAGCAAAAAGAGATAAAGAAGGTCATTACATACTAATTAAGGGGTCTCTTCTTCAGGAGGATATTACAATTCTAAATATTTATTCAACAAATATCGGAGCATCCAAATTTACCCAAGAAACACCACTTTCCCTAAAATCTCACATAGATCTAAAGACATTAATTGTTGGGGACTTTAACAAACCACTAGCCCCACTGGATAGATCAACCTGGCAAAAACTCAACAGAGAAACCTTGGATCTAAACCTTGGATCTAAACTGCATAGGTCAATTAAACTTAACAGACATCTACCCAATATTTCACCCAGCAGCATCAGAATATATGTTCTTCTCAGCAGCACACAGAACATTCTCCAAAATAGACCACATTTTAGGTCACAAAGCAAATTTGTCTAAATTCAGAAACATTGAAATTATTCCCTGCATTCTCTCAGACCATAAGGGAGTAAAATTCGCATTCATGGCAAAACCCACCAAAGAAAATCCTGTATCACATGGAGGCTGAATAACACACTGTTGAACCACCAGTGGATCATGGGAGAGATGAGAAAGGAAATTCAAATGTTCATGGTATTTAACAAAAATGAACACACAAATTACAAGCTCCTGTGGGACACAGCAAAGGCAGTAATCAGAGGCAAGTTTATAGCTTTGAGTTCCTACATCAAAAAATTGGAGAGATCTGAAACCAACAATTTAATGAGGCACTTGAAGCTCTTTGAGAAAGAACAACAAGCTAAACCTCAATCCAGTAGACGGAAACAAATAATTAAAATTAAATCAGAATTAAATGAATTGGAGTCCAAAAAAAACCATAGAAAGAATCAACAAAACAAGGAGTTTGTTCTTTGAAAAAATTAACAAAATTGACAGACCCTTAGCAAATCTTATCAGAAAAAGAGCACACACCCAAATAAACAAACTCAGAGATGAGAATGGAAACATCACCACAGAAACAATCAAGATTCAGAACATTATAAGGGAATACTTCTCAAACCTTTATGCTAATAAGTTTGAGAATCTGAATGAAATGGAAGAATTTCTAGCAAATATTGACATCCCCAAACTAAACCAAGATGATTTAAACCAACTTAACAGACCCATATTAAGCATCGAAATAGGAACAGCAATAGGATGGCCAATAGACACATGAAGAAATGCTCAACCTCCTTAGCCATAAAAGAAATGCAAATCAAAACAACACTGAGATACCACCTCACTCCAGTTAGAATGGCTAAAATCAAGAACTCTAATAACAGATGCTGGAGGGGATGTGGACAGAAAGGAACCTTACTGCATTGTTGGTGGGAGTGTAAACTTGTTCAACAACTTTGGAAAGCAGTATGGAGGTTCCTCAAAAGACTCCACATAGAGCTCCCCTATAATCCAGCAATCCCACTTTGGGGCATTTACCCAAATATTTACAAACAAGACCACCCTAAAGCTACCACATGACTATGTTTATTGCAGCATTATTTACTATAGCTAAGATATGGAACCAACCCAGATGCCCCTCAGTAGATGAATGGATCAAGAAAATGTGGTATATATACACAATGGAATTCTATGCCTCCATCAGAAAGAATGACATTGCCCCATTTGTTAGGAAATGGAAAGACTTGGAAAAAATTATATTAAGTGAAGTAAGCCAGGCCCAAAGAAACATAGGTCCCATGGTTTCCCTTATTTGCAATATCTAGTATATGTCTGAGTCAAGCAGAAAAGGTCAGATAAGGTGATGTTAGGGAAATGAACCCTAAGATATGTATTCAAATGTTTTCTATGCGATTGTTTCTAATGCATTTATAAGATTATTTCTTTGTTGCTTTGTATGTCCCTCCCACACAGTATAACCCCTGCTTTCACTGTATTTGATGTTGGTATAATTTGTGGAGTGGAAAGGGAAAAACAAATCGTTTAAATAGGGGTACAGTGGACCCATTGCAACAATGAGATGTACAAGTCGTTATGTCAAAAATGAACTTTACAACTTTGGTGCAGGGGAGGGGGGGAAAAGGGGGGCTGGGGGGAGGATGGAAAGGGATGGGAAGGGAAAAAAAGGAGGAGGCTACAATACTTGATAAGAAATGTACTCATTATCTTGCCCATGTAATTGTAACCCCTCTGTACAGTATTTTCACAATAAAAAAGAGCAAAAAAAAGAAATAGGAACAGCAATAAGAGACAGCAATAAGTGGAATTCTACAAGGCTTTCAAATTAGAAATCACACCAATACTCCTCCAACTCTTCAATGAAATTGTAAGTGAAAGTTCACTACCAAACTCTTTCTATGAAGTCATCATAACCCTTATCCCAAAACCAGGCAGGGACTCATCAAAGAAAGAGAACTATAGACCCATTTCTTTGATGAACATCGATGCAAAACTCCTCAACAAAATTTTGGCCAATTGACTCCAACAACTCATCAAAAAAATCATACACCATGATCAAACAGGATTCACTTGAGGGATGCAAAGCTGGTTCAATATACAAAAATAAAACAATATAATTCATCACATCGACAAGAGCAAGGATAAGAACCACATGATTATCTCAATAGATGCAGAAAAAGCATTTGACAAGATCCAACTGTTAGATTTTTAAAGAGAGGCAGCCGAGTAAGAACAGCACCACACGTGGTGTTCAGGTAAGGGGTAGGTTTATTTATCATTCCAGCTGGCACCAGGCCATGTTAGCACTCCACGGGGCTGGAAAAAGCCTGAGAAAGAGGGCGTCTGGGCCTGGGCTAGGTCTTATCTAGGGTATGGGCGGGGAAAGGTGTGCCCACATTGAATCCAGATGTGACCTCAGCAGATGCAGATGTGACCTCTTCCAGGTGTGCCAGTTGCATAGGTAACACAGGTCCTGGGTGGAGACTTTGCTGAGGGTGGAGTCCGCTTGCCATCCAGGAGTGGACCTTACACCAATACCCTTTTATGATGAAAGCACTGGAAAAACTAGGAATCCATGGTACATCCTCAATATAATAAAGGCTGTATATAACAAACCTACAGCCAGCATTATACTTAATGGCAAAAAGCTAAAGCCATTTCCTCTAAATTCAGAAATGAGAGAAGGATGTGCACTCTCTCCACTTCTCTTCAATTTCATATTAGAATGCCTAGCTAGAGCAATAAGACAAGATGCAAACATAAAGGGGATCCAAATAGAGAAAGATGAAGTAAAACTCTCCCTCTTTGCCAATGACATGATCTTGTATTTAAAGAACCCCATGGACTCCATTCTCGTTACTCGAGTTGATCTGAAACTTTGGCAAAGTAGTAGGGTATAAAATTAACCCTCAAAAATTAATGGCTTGCCAGATGCAGGTGGCTCACGCCTATAATCCTAGCTACTCAGGAGGCTGAAATCTGAGATTCAAGGTTCAGAGCCAGCCTGGGCAGGAAAGTCCATGAGATTCTTATCTCCAATTAACCACTCAGAAAAACGGAAGTGGCACTGTGGCTTCAGTGGTAGAGCACTAGCTTTGAGCTGAAGAGCTGAGGGACAGTGCCCAGGCCCACAGTTCAAGCCCCACGACCAACAACAACAACAAAAAGAGGCTTTTCTGTAAGCCAATAATGAGAAGAGTGCAGCTGAAATCAGGAAAGCAACTTGTTTTGTAATAATTCCACAAAACAGAAAATACCTAGGAGTTAACTAAAGAAGTGAAAGACCTCAGTGATGAAAATTTTTATTTATTTATTTTTGCCGAACCTGTAACTTTAACTCAGGGCCTGGACACCATCCTTGAGCCTCTCTCTGCTCAATGCTAGCACTCTACCACTTGAGCTACAAAACCACTTCTGGCTTTTTCTGTGTATGTGGTACTGAGTAATTGAACCCAGGGCTTCATGCATGCTAGGCAAGCACTCTACTGCTAAGCCACATTCCCAGCCTGATGAAAAATTTAAAAACCTGAAAAAGGAAATTAAAGCAGATCTAAGGAAGTGGAAAAACCTCCCATGCTCCTAGATTGGGAGGATTAACATGGTGAAAATGACAATACTGCCAAAGGCTATCTTCAAAGTCAATGCGATACCCATCAATATCCCAACCTCATTCTTCAATGAAATAGAAGACGCAACCCCAAAATCCATATGGAACAATAAAAGACCCCAAAATAGCAAAAACAATTCTTAGCAGAAAGAGCTGTGCTGGAGGAATATCAATACCAAATCTCAAACTCTACTACAAAACCATAGTAATCAAAACAACTTGTACTGGCACAAGAACAGACATGAGGACCAATGGAATAAAACTGAAGATCCAGAAATGAACCTACAGACCTATAGCCATCTAATCTTCGATAAGGGAGCTAAAACAATAGAATGGAAGAAAGACAGCCTCTTCAGTAGATGGTGCTGGCAAAATTGGTTAAACATCTGTAGAAAACTAAAGCTAGATCCTTATATATCACCCTGCACCAGAATCAACTCCAAATGGATCAAAGACCTTGACGTCAAAGCAGACACCCTGAAAACATTACAGGAAGGAATTGGAGAAACTCTAGAGCTCCTTGGCACAGGCTGAAATTATCTTAATAAAGACCCAGAAACACAACAAATCAAAGAAAGGTTGGACAAATGGGATGCATGAAACTATAGAGCTTCTGCAGGGCAAAGGATATAGCTAGCAAGATAAGTAGAAAGCCCATAGATTGGGAGATCTTCACTAGCCATACAAAAGACAAGGGCCTCATATCTAAAATATACTTAGAACTCAAGAAATTAAATCCCCCAACAAAAATTAAATCCCTCAAAGAAACAACTGCCCGATTAATAAGTGGGCTAAAGACCTAAAGAGAGACTTCTCTGAAGAGGAATAAGAATGGCCAATAGACACATGAAGAAATGCTCAACCTCTCTAGCTATAAAAGAAATGCAAATCAAAACAACATTGAGATTCCACCTCACCCCAGTTAGAATGGCTACAATCAAGAAATCTAATAACAGATGCAGGAGGGGATGTGGCCAGAAGGGAACCGTACTGCATTGTTGGTGGGAGTGTAAACTTGTCCAACCACTTTGGAAAGTAGTATGGAGGTTCCTCAAAAGAGTACACATAGAGCTCCCCTATGATCCAGCAATTCCACTTTTGGGCATTTACCCAAATGATCACAAACGAAGCCATACTAAAGCTACCAGCACAACTATGTTTATTCGCAGCATTATTTACCATAGCTAAGATATGGAACCCACCCAGATGCCCCTCACCAGATGACTGGATCAAGAAAATGTGATATAAATGTATATGTGTATGTATATGTATATATATATATATATATATATATATATATATATATATATAGGAATTCAATGTGTCCATCAGAAAAAATGACACCATCCCATTTGTTAAGAAATGGAAAGTCTTGGAAAAATTATATTAAGTGAAGTAAGCCAGGCCCAAAGAAACATAGGTCCCATGTTTTCCCTTATTTGCAGTAATGTCTAGGACAAGCAGAAAAGGTCAAAAGGTATGTATATATGACCATATAAGATGTTGCTAAGTGAAATGAACCCCAAGAGGTTTTATCTTTCTTGCTGTTGTTTTTAATGTACTTAAAATATACCATGTGATTTTTTTTGGGGGGGGGTTCTTTTCTATGTTCTTCCTCCATGGTATAACTGGTTTTCACTGTTTTTGATGTCAGTGCTTTGCATCTTGTATATACATTTTTCTAATTTGGGGAGGGGAAGGATAAAAAAATGCTGAAATAAGGATACAGATCAACCCATTGTAACAATAAGATGTATAAGACACTATGTTGAAAACAAACTTTACAACTTGTGGGGGGAGGCAGCAGTTGGGGAAGTGGGGAGGGAAGTGTTGGTAGGGGAAAAACAAAGGAGGGGGTAACAATACTCGATAGAAAATGTACTAATTACCTTACTCATGTAACTGTAACCGCTCTGTACACTATCTTTACAAGAAAAAAATATTATTAAAAATAGTTTGGGTAAAGTTCAAAGGTCTGCTATCCAAGAGATGGCCTCAGTGGCATTATCCTTCCCCAACCAGCTGATCTTCCTAATGAAACCACTGTGAGCAACAACACAAAAAATTTTTAGGACACGAAACAAATTTGTTGTCTGCTCCTTCCTGGGTAAGTTGGCTTGCTTATTGGCCAACTACAAACTATTGGCAAATCCATGAATCTCCTCATAAAGAGATCAGGTTGTACCCCTGGTCCTGGAATAACCTGGCTGTGTAGACTGTGCTGGGCTGGGGGGGTCAAGGCATCTTTCTCTACCTGGAGCCCAGGGTTTTACTCTTGGTCATAGACACAAGTTTCATATGACCGTAATCAAAACAAACACAAAACCAGCTGTGGTTCTTCTCCCAGTTGCAAGAGGAGGGGTGGGGAACCTGCCTCTGGAAAGGCATGTTCTTTTAGAGTCATTTTGCTCAGGCCGAAGTAAGCTCAGGGACTAGTCAGTGTTCCTGAGCTGGTTTTAGACTCTAGACACCCAGCTAGTGGTTTGATACTCCTCAAAGGACTCCTTGGTGCATCCTCAGCATGTTTTATATAATCCATAGGCTCTGCCTTGGTATCTTAGACGGATGATATGTTTCTATACTTTAAAGTATAAGGAACCTGGGTGAACCTCCCAAAGGTCTCTCTCATGCCAAGATGTTTTCTATAACTAACAAAAATGGGCACTGGCTCCTCCCCCAATTTAGGAGTCAGCGCCTTCCATTGCAGCCCCCGTGGAATCATCAGGCAAGCTTGCCTCACTTCTTCCCCTTCTTTCCGTATACTTTACTTGCATCAAAGAACACCAACAAGGCACAATCCCAGACCCCCATTTGTGGGACAGCTAGATGTAGCAAAAGAAACAGCAATTTCTCCTTTGAGTTCAAGATGCAGTGCAAGGGGCCTGAGGGCCATTTCTGCCTTTAAAACGAAATTCCTGCTAGATTCAGTTAAGTAGGGGATCTCTTAAAAATTGAACCCTTCAGTGCAGGACTTACAACTGCTCTCCCTGTTGACATTCTTCCCAGTGGTAGCAATGACGATGTAAGAAAGGAGATGTCATCTACTATGTGGTTTGGGCTAGCCAGAATGGCATGACTTAAGGTGTTTGCTCTTCTAGGTTCTCTCATTCCTGCTCTTGGGCCTGATGTCCATGATGATTCCCCTATGCCGGGACTTTGGAGGCCTCATCATTGTCTGTCTCTTCCTGGGCCTGTGTGATGGCTTCTTCATCACCATCATGGCCCCCATTGCTTTTGAGCTGGTGGGTCCGATGCAGGCCTCACAGGCCATTGGCTACCTACTGGGCATGATGGCCCTGCCAATGATTGCTGGGCCTCCCATTGCAGGTGAGTCTCATTGCCAGGGAATCGAGTCCTATTTATGCTAGGAGCACTCTATGGAGTACCTCTGCTTAAGCCTCCTTTTCCTCTTTTCTGTGTAAGTAGTCTTGTTATAGTGCAGGAAAACCCTTACCATGACTAGTGTAAGAGCTTCAATATAGTACACAGGCATGGATTCATTTGCAGGGTGGGGGTGGGGGGACGTTTTCCAAAGTTGTATATGTGTCACTGGAGTTTCATTGTAGAGAGCATGGATCCTTCCAGGGGAGTAGAGAGAAAAATTACCGTTCTATTGTTTTAATATTCTTTCCTTCCTCTCTTCCCCTCCTCCCCCTCTGCCTTCAGTCCCCTCCTCCCCATTCCCTTTCATTCCCTTCCTCCACCTCCCCCATTCCCCTCTTCTTTACTCTTCTCCTGTCCTTTTGTTTCCTCTCCTCTCCCCTCTGTTTCCTCTCCTCTTCTCCCTCTCCTCTCTCTCCTTTCCTGCTTTCTTAATTTCTGGGGTTTTTTTAAGGGTGTATGTGTGTACATGTGCATGTATGCATGCACCACTTCTGGGGCTTGAACTCAGAGCCTGGGCACTGTCCCTGTTTTTTTCCCCTCAAAGTTAGGGCTGTACCATTTGAGTAACAGCTCTAATTTTTTAGTTGTTAACTGGAGCTAAGAGTCTCATGGACTTTCCTGCCCAGGCTGGCTGCAAACTGTGATCCTCAGATTGCAGTCTCCCGAGTAGCTACGATTACAGACATAAGTCAGCAGCACCTGGCTTACATTATGGGGTTTTTTTTTTTAATTCAAGAACTTACTATGTAGCCCAGGCTGGTTTGGAACTCACTATGTACCCCAAGTTGGCCTTGAATTTTACAGTCTTCCTGCCTTAGCCACCCTGAGTTCTGGGGATACAAGTGTACATCACCATGGCCAGCTTTGATCCAATACTCTCTTATATTGTTCATAGGCAAGGGATTATTTCAAGGTACTTGGGTCAAAAAATAGTAAGAATCAACCCTGGTTTCTTTCCCCTTTTTTTGGCCAATCTTGGGACTTAAATTCAGGGCCTGGGCACTGTCCCTGAGATTCTTTTGCTCACTTTCCCTGAGATTCTTTTTTTTTTTTTTTGGTTGGTCGTGGGCCTGAACTCTGGGCCTGGGCGCTGTCCCTCAGCTCTTCAGCTCAAGGCTAGCGCTCTACCACTTGAGCCACAGCGCCACTTCCGGCTTTTTTCTTTTTGCTTATGTGGTGCTGAGGAATCGAACCCAGGGCCTCAGGCATGCAAGGCAAGCGCTCTACCACTGAGCCACCTTCCCAGCCCCTCATGTTCAGTTCTCTACAATGTACAACAGAGACTATTGAAATAAACTTGTATTTTTTTTGTTGTTGGTGGTGGTAAGGCTTAAACTCAGCCTGGGCGCTGTCCCTCAGCTCTTCAGCTCAAGGCAAGCTACCTACCACTTGAGCCACAGCACAACTTCTGGTTTAATGGTGGTTAATTGGGAGTTAACTTTCTCATGGATAACAATGCTCCATAGCAAATATACTCCCTGCATAACTCATGTAACTGTAAGCCCTCTGTACAGTATCTTTACAATTAAAAATATTAAAAACAAAAAGAGTCTCATGGAATTTACAGCCTGTGCTGGCTTTGAACTGAGATCCTCAATAGCTATCATTACAGGTGTGAGACAGTGGTGCCTAGTGTATCTATACTTTTAACAGTATGGTTTGTAAAATGTAATTTGTTGTTAAATAGTGGATAAAGTCCATATTCTCTTTTCTCCTCTCCACAGGGACCAACAGGAATGCAGCCCTGTAAGCCTGCTTAATGTTGCAATTCAACAGTAGGCAATCTACTCAAGTGGGCATTTCAAGATAATATAGTCCACTGCAGGCCCCATTGCCCATCTTGCATACCACCTTTCCCTCTGGGAAGCAGAGTTTTTATGCTAAAGGTTGTGTTCTGAGGAAATGGTCATATGCAAATTAGGTGTAAGGAAACTGACCAATCAGAGAAAAACTGCTGAGTCACTGTGGGCCTATAAACATGGAATTACAGCTCTCTAGGTCTTTTTCCTGAGGGATGGAAGATGTTTGTTTGAGGGGAGGGGAGGACACCCATGCTCTCAGACAAATGATGAACAGACTAGGAAGGTTGGAAGCAGACTTTCAGTTTTCTACAATGTACAATGGAGACTATTGAAACACCCTTGTACATTTTTTTTGTCGGTGGTGGGGCCTGAACTCTGGGCCTGGGTGCTGTCCCTCAGTTCTTCAGCTCAAGGCTAGCACTCTACCACTTGAGCCACAGCGCCACTTCCGGCTTTTTTCTTTTTGCTTATGTGGTGCTGAGGAATCGAACCCAGGGCCTCAGGCATGCAAGGCAAGCACTCTACCACTGAGCCACCTTCCCAGCCCATCCCTGAGATTCTTTTGCTCAAGGCTAGCACTCTACCACTTGAGCTACAGTGCTACTTCCGACCTTTTCTGTTTATTGAACCCAGGGCTTTATGTATGCTAGGCAAGCACTCTACCACTAAGCCACATTCCCATCCCTCAACCCTGGTTTCTTAAAGCTGAGTTATAACTGGGCGCTGGTGGCTCAAACCTGTTAATCCTAGCTACTCAGGAGGCTGAGATCTGAGGATCATGATTTGAAGTCAGCCTGGGCAATAAGTCCATGAGAATCTTTATCTCCAATTACCTCAAGTAGTAGACTACTAGCCTGAAGCACAAAAGCTTAGGGACATAGCTCAGGCCCAGATTTGAAGCCTCAGAACTGGAAAAAGGAAAAAACACACCTGAGTGCTATCTTCCCCACTCCCCACTCCACTGGTTTTGGAACTGGGCTGTAGAAGTCCTGAGCCATTGAAGCTTACCTCCAGCAGGCAGCAAGCAGTGCCAGCATGCTATCTTTCCATCTCTCAAACACTGCTAGTGTCTCCCTCCCCTCTCTCAGAGGGCATTGTTGGTACCTCAGGGAATATAAGAAATAGAAAAACAATTAAAGAAATAACTTCATTTCCTTTCAAATGAATTTACCGCAAGCATTGGTTCATGTATTAGATTCCCTAGGTTTAGCAAATGGGATAATTCAACAAAAACTCCTTAAATGCCATTTACGCACAAGATTTTGTGACAATGGCGAACCTCTCACTGAAGGTTCTTGTGTAACAACCACACAGTCTATGGTAGGAGGGTAGCCTCTATCTAGCCCTTGATCCCAACATGCCCCAGAACCCACAAGTCTTTCCATTTCCCTTACCTCCTGAGTAAGCAAATGGCCAAGAATCTGCCATATGAAATAGCTCACAGTAGCTTCTGGAGGGGAGCATGCGAGGCCTTGCAGTCTATGCCATCCATATCCATAGTAAGAGCAGTTTGGAGGACTCAGAGGGGAAAACTGGAAGAAAGATATGCACATACAACTTCTTATGACATTTGGAACTTCAGAGAAAAAGCAATCAGGAATTCCACTGAATTGTTCCATGAGTTCAACATGGAGGGAGGGAGTAGGAGTGAGGACTATCGCGAGGACTATCGCTGTGAACCAAGACAAGGCTTAGTTAAACTAGTTCCTTCCCAATTCCATCCCTAGAAGTAACTAGAAGACAGCTGTAGCTTGATGAAAGCTTCTCTCCTAATGAGCATTCTCCCTAAGGGCCAGTAGCCTCATTAACCGCCGGGGGAAGCCACTTGCCTTGTGTGTGTGAGAGAGGGGGCATCGAGTCAAGGCAGCTCAGGCCCAGGTTCCCTGGACAGGCCCTGAGATGGCTTTTAGAAGAGACCCTTTGGATGGCAGGGCAGAGTTGAACTTGACTTGTGTCTCTCAACTGTTTCAGGCCTCCTTCGCAACTGCTTTGGTGACTACCATGTGGCCTTCTACTTTGCCGGTGTGCCCCCCATCATTGGAGCTGTAATCCTCTTTTTCGTCCCTCTGATGCATCAAAGGATGTTCAAGAAAGAGCAGAGGGATTCCAGCAAGGATAAGATGTTGGCCCATGAGCCAGATCCCAATGGAGAGCTGCTGCCAGGCTCCCCTACCCCTGAGGAACCAATTTAATGTCTCTTTCCTGCCATTGTGTGCTCTTCTTCGGCCCTTTCCCTTCATCCCACCCTGCTCAGCATTTACATTTTTGCCACCAGCACACTTGTTCCCAAACCTGTGCACACAGCATTTCAACCACCTGACCATCCCCTTGGAGCCAAAGCTCTAGGTGTTTCAAACTCATTAACCAAATTCTCCCTGTGAATGCCTTTAAACTTGCCAGGGCCCTTATCCTTCCCCCCATCTCCCCTCCCCACCCTGCCCCCACCTCCTGAGAAAGATTGGGATCACTCTCTGGCTTTGGGATTCTCTCCATATACTTTCTAATCCCCAGGGGGCGGAGGTAGAATGAACCTCTGGCCCAAGCTTATTAGTCACCCACTAAAGTCAACTGCCAAAGGTGCTACTATATCCCCAGGAGCCTATTGGGGAGAACCATGCCTCTGTATGCTGAGGAATTCATTGCCATTCATCCTGGGGAGCCACTTGGGGATGGGGAAAGAGGAATCAAGAAGTCTTGTTTAGCCTCCCATTCTTGAGGCCAGTGGCTTCCCAAGAGCATCCCCACGATATGGTTGGTTAACAATCTGCTTCTCTCTTCCTTGCCTTTTATTTTTCCTCTACTGCTTCCTTTTCATCCTCTTTCCCCTCTATTTCTTTTTTTATGACTGTCATAGATACATAGGTGCTTGGAGAAAGGAAGAACCCAGAGCTTAGGCCAATTAACCTCATCTTGGCCCAATCTACCCCAATCTACCACTTATCTCAGGCTGAGTCACATCTCACTTTTTGGCTCAAACTGATACAACCATAGACTGGAAAATTAGACTATCACACAGGGAAGTGACCTCAACTCTCACAGAGTTCCATTTTTCATTCGCAGGTTTTTATGGATTTCCCAAGCCAATGCATAAATCAGGAGGCCTCAGCTCCCCATCCTTGTACCCATTATGTCAAAATGTGAAGAGACTTCCTTTCATCTCAGCAGGCATAGGAAGACTAATGATAGTGTGCTGACATGGTGGGGGAGGGGCAGTGGTTGTTGACATGGGTAAGGACTATCTCTCAATTTCCATGACAGCTCAATTTTTTCCACCTAGGCCAGGACAGGAAATGAACTGTTTTAGGGGGAAAAAACTCATTCTCCACCTGAATCCCCAAATGGTATAGACAGCTGCTGCACACACACACACACACACACACACACACACACACACACACACACACACACACACACAGGGTTGGACAGCTTCTTTTAGGAAGGAGAAGCCACCCTAGCCTTTACCACCCAGTGTGTCCCCCATGATAGACATCCTGGGCCACTCATGGGCATTAAAGGTGCCAAGAGAGGCATACTCTGGCCCATTTTCATCCTTGTGAAGTCGGTGCCAGATGCTTCCCTATACCCAGGCTCTGGGCAACAGTCTTACTGAAGAGCATTCCAAGTGCCCCTGGCTGGAGGCACAGGGCACTACCAGGCTGTGTCCAGCTAGCACAGCTCACCTCATTAGGAGCTCAGCCTCTGTCCTCACTCTGTGTCTTTTTCTCCCTTCTCTGAGCCTTTGTCTATTGTGTTCCTGTCACCCAACCCTCCATTATCTTTTTGCCAGGCATCCTTGGCTGTTATTTGGAGCCAATGGTAGCTTGCCACCCCAAGCCAGGGTCATCCCAAGGCCAGGAGGATGAGGTTGCCCTGAGGGGCACCAAAGAAGACAATGGTCCCCACACATGAGCTTTTCCGTTACAAACAGGCAGCTGGGGGTATGGTTGGCTTCTGATGGTTTCATTCAAAGCCAAAGGCCTGAGCCCCCTTCCGCTGGTCCTAGTCCAGCTCTTATCAGCTACTCAAAGGAAAACCCACTGGTTCTTGGCTCAGTGGGCAGGAAGGGGCCGAGTTACTAGCCTGTCAGCTCTAACAGCAGTAGAAGGGGAGAAGCTGGGCCCCAGGCTCCCAGTAACTCCCAGGAGAGGCCACTGAAAATACTGGAGCAACAATGGCCCTGCTTCCATTCTTCCCTGACCCGCCCCCCACCAAGTCACTGGAGGGTGGTGCAACAGGGTCTCCTTTGTTGCTCATGGCTGGATATCTCTTAAGAATCAGGCTGTCACCTACTTCTCTCCAGATGAAGGAAAGACATTTACAGGGCCCAAATACGCCCATTCAGTGTCATGAACCATTGGCAAGGTTTCAATTTACTTCTACATGTGTGTGTGTGAATGTGTGTGTGTGTGTGTGTGTGTGTGTGGGTGGGTGGGTGGGTGTGCATGTGTGGGTGTGTGTGCTTTTGGAGAGAATGCTGGTTGGTCTAAGCAGCACAGTATTATATTTAGAGTAGGATGCAGACTTACGCACCACAGTTAAATCTAGGAGAATGAACAAAATTTCGGAGCTTGAGACCTGGGATATTTAAATCCTCAAGGGGTTTGGAACAAAAAATAAACAGATCTAAATGTTTGGTTTTTGGTATGTATGTTGCCTACCAGGGTGAAATAATCTTAACCTGAAGAACAGCAGGAAGTTTGGCTTCAGAGCGGAATTCTCATTCCAAATCAGATTTCTGCCAGGGTTTGTGCTCTCTGTAAGAACAGAGACAAGTTATAAGGAGATTAGGGGTTGAGCGAACTATTTGAGATTGAATACTTTTCTGGAGCTCTGAAGCAGAAACATGGCTACTTGGCAGAATGAAAACATGGTTACTGGCTGAGTTGGAGGGGAGGCCTCTTGAAGGCCAGGCTACCACCTTGCTATCACACTGGAAATGGACAAAGACCTTAGCAATAACCCAATTCAACTCCCTTCTCTCTCCACTTTTATGTTATTGCTGGGAAACTTGAAGGGATTCATGTAGCTGGATTACATAGTCCTACATTGGCTAAGACTAGTGGGATGGAAGAGGAAACAGGAGAAAAATCAACAAGAATGCCACAGCTATGGGTAACAAGAGTCCTCCATATCTATATTCTGCACTGAATTTAACTGGGGAAACTAAGGCTTGGAGATAGGAAGCGACTGCCACAAGTTTATACAGAGAGTGACAAGATGTGAACGCAGATAACTGACTTGCATTTCAGTCAAACCCCTTTACAGATGAAGAAACTGGCCCCTAGAATGGAGAACAGACATTCATCAATAGCATAGCAAAGTCCATTTCCAAAAGATGTCAGCAGAACTAGCTCTGGACAAAAATAAAAGCTGAGCAAAATCTGACTGAACATAACCCCTGTCTTTACAGCTATAGTCACTCTCAACCTACATACCTGTTTTATTCTCTCTCCCAGGTACTCTACACTCTCATGTAGCCTTGGTTATTGTTGGGCTTTGTTTTGTGGGGTTTTTTTTTGTCAGTTATGGGGTTTGAACTCAAGGCCTCGGCACCAACTGCCTTTCTACTGCCAGCAACTCCTGGCCACACACTGGGCTGCCCAGGGACAAAGTGAGGGGCTGGCTTCCTTTCAGAGTATAGTTTGCCACCCAGCTCTTCCCTATTGTTGTTTCTTCCAGTTGAATGCAAACACCCTCAGGCTGCAGGCCTCCTCCACTCCTCCCACTAAAGCTAATTACTCTGTCCTGCTGCCAGGCCCCAGGCTCTCCCACCCAAGATCTGCTGCCCCCTCATTCCCTCCTCCAGTACCCCCAGGCTTAGTCTGTGTTTGATCACTCAGGATCATTAGATTTCAAAGCTATGGAATCCCATAATTTTTATGAGCATATGCTTTCCTCCAGGGCCTTTTCATGTCTGCAAAGGGAGCCCTCAGCTCCCTGCCACTTCACAGTTGCAGAGCAGGACAGCTGACAAGGATTACTCCCCCCTACTCCCCCAGAGTCTGACAGCTGGGACCTGGAAAGGGTGGGTGCCAGTTAGTATAAAAAAAAAACTGCTTGAAGCAAGCTTGGAAATCTGAATAAATCGAAATGGACCAGAGACTATTCCCCCCTCCCTCCCAGGAACAAGGATAAGAATTGGGTACCTAGCTCCACCAAGGATTGAGGAGGCTGTGTGGTAAAGGCCCTTGAATTGCTGCCTTTCAGATGTCTAAGTGGTCACCAGAGAGCTTCATGCCTGGTTTTCATGTCAAATCAGCACTAGTTCCTAAGGACCTGTTGTGTCTCAAGCACTCTGCTAAAACTCAGGAACAGAAACTTCAGAAATGAGAGGAACTCAATTAGCAACAATGTGGAGAACACAGAAAGAAATTCATACTGTATTTTCAAGTTACGGTTTCCTTCTCTGGGCCTCAGCGGCCTGGAATGTACTGACCTTGGTGACCAAACTCAGTTCTTTATGAGGCTGGGCAAGGGCAGGAGAGGGGCCCCTACTGTGATGCCAGCAGCTCGACCCCTCCCATTCTCCCCACCTCCTTCCCCATGCCTGGCCTCCTGCAGGCCAGTGTCGCCCACAGTCGCCCGGAAGAACTACGCGCCTTGGTGTCGGTTTCCTGCTGAGCCCAAGCCGGATAAAATTAGCCGATGGCTCACATCTAACAAGTGGCACAGCTGAGTACAGCTGGGTGGGGGGGGGGACGGGAGGGGGAGACATGGCCCAGCCAAGCCAGGCTGCTTTCCTGCCTACCCAAGCCACTCGTACCCCTGGGCTGACATCTGTTGTACATCCTGGTTCAGAGATTCCCGAGTGCCCTGTTCCTGCCACAGGACAAACGATACTCTGCTGACTTGAGCCTCTGGAGTCCTGAGCCCCATTTTAGGACCAACTGGGAACAGGCAACAGCTTTTTCTTTTCCACACCTCGTATGTCCTCACCACCTCTAGGCTCCAGGGTTTGGGAATGAGGAGCGAAAGCAGCAGCATTTCCAAGAGCCCAACACACTTTGCACACTGGGACCTACAGTGGAGATGGTGTTGGGAGCCTACTTGCTGGTCTCCAGCCACACAAGCTACCTGTGTGCGTTCACATGTGATGGGATGGCCTTGGTATATCAGGAATCCTATCCCCTTTGCATGTTTCAGTTTGACAGATAACAAAGCTGGGTCCCGCTGTATAATACACCTGGCCCTGCTACTCAGTATACTCCACTAGGAAAAGAGCAGAAAAAGGCAAGAGGACCCGACCTCCCTCGAGCTGGGGCCTCCAGATGGAAAAAGCAACAGCTGCAAGTCTGTCCTTGACACAGCTCAACTGCCCTGTATTCTGCACTCATTCAGCCTTGACTTCTCAAGCAGTGTTCCCCAGCGCCCACTAGAGGCCCACAGGAACAAGGAGCTTAGAACAGGAATGATCCCCGCAGCCATCCTTCATTCTAGGAACCAAATATGTACATATAAAGCCCAAGCAGCTTCTTCCGCTGAGCGAGTCCAGAGGCTTCTTATGCGCTGTGCCAGGGATTGGGGGTTTTGATACCGTAGGTTGTGCTGACTGGTTGGTCTATGCAAATTAGGTGTAGGATGGCTGACTAATCAGAGAAGATCTGCTGAGTCATTATGGACCTACAGACCTGAAACTGTAACTCTTTAGTCGGTCTGTTTTCAGCATGCATCCCCCCCAACTAAATTATGAAAGATTGTATTTATATTTGTGGGTTTGGGGTCTTGAAATCAGGGATTGACACTATCCCAGAGCTGCTTCTCCACAAGGTTAGTCCTCTACCACTTCAGCCACCGCACCACATCTAGCCTTTTCTGAGTAATTTATTGGAGAATCTCATGGACTTTGCCTGCTGGGCTGGCTTTAAAATGAGATCCTCAGATCTCAGCCTCTTAAGTAGCTAGGATTAAAGGTGTGACCCAGTGGAACTATACTTTTAACAGTATGGTTTGTAAAATGTAATTTGTTGCTAAGTAGTAGAATCCATATTCTCTTTTCTCTTCTCCACAGGGACCAACAGGAATGTAGCCCTGTAAGCCTGCTTAATGTTGCAGTTCAACAGTAGGCAATCTACTCAAGTGGGCATTTCAAGATAATATAGTCTGCTGCGGGCCCAATTGCCAGGGATCCAAACCACCTTTCCCTCTGGGATGCCGAGTTTTTAAGCTAAAAGTTGTGTTCTGAGGAAAGCCATATGCAAATTAGGTGTAAGGAAATTGACCAATCAGAGAAAAATTCCTGAGTTACTGTGGGCCTGGAAACCTGAAATTACGGTTCTCTAGGTCCGTTTCCTGAGGGCAGGAGGAGATGGGGGGGGACACCCATGCACACACAGACTAATTAGGAACTTCTAGGAAGGTTGGAAGCAGATATCCACTTCTCTACAATGTACAACGGAGACTGTTGAAACAACCTTGTACTTTTTCTGTTGGTTGTAGGGCTTGAACTTGGCCTGGGCTGTCTCTCAGCTCTTCAACTCAAGGAGAACTCTCTAGCACATGAGCCACAGCACCACTTCTGATTTTCTGGTGGTTAATTGGAGTTAAGTTTCTCATGGATAACAATGCTCAATAGGAAATGTATTCCCTAATTCATGTAACTGTAATCCCTCTGTACATACAGTATCTTTACAATAAAAAATATTAAAAACAAAAAGACTCTTGTGGACTTTACTGCCTGCACTGGCTTTGAACAGCGATCCTCAGCTCTTAGCCTCCTAAATAGCTAGGAATACAAGTGTGAGCCAGTGGCGCCCAATGGAACTATACTTTTAACATTATGGTGTATAAAATGTAATTTGTTGTTAAATAGTAGAATCCATATTTTCTTTTCTCTTGTCCACAGGGACCAACAAGAATGCAGCCCTGTAAGCCTGCTTAATGTTGCAGTTCAACAGTAGGCTAATCTATTCAAGTGGGCATCTCAAGACAATATAGTCTGCTGCAGGCCCGATTGCCCACATTCAGCACCACCTTTCCCTCTGGAAAGTAGAGGTTTTATGCTATAAGCTGTGTTCTGATGGATTGGTCATATGCAAATTAGGTGCAAGGAAATTGACCAATCAGAGAAAAACTGCTGAGTCACTGTGGGCCTGTAAACCTGGAATTACAGTTCTCTAGGTCTGATGATTGAAGGCAGGAGGACCTGTGGGGTGGGGGGGGGGTGGCAGACAACCATGCACCCACACAGAAATTATGAATGATTAGGACGGTTGGAAGCAGTGTTTCAGTTCTCTACAATGTACAACAGAGACAATTGAAACAAACTTGTATTTTTTTGTTGGTGGTAGGGCTTAAACTTGGCATGGGCGATGTCCCTCAGCTCTTCAGCTCAAGGCAAGCTACCTACCACTTGAGCCACAGCACAACTTCTGGTTTAATACTGGGTAATTGGAGTTAACTTTCTCATGGATAACAATGCTCCATAGCAAATATACTCCTTGCATAACTCATGTAACTGTAAGCCCTCTGTACAGTATCTTTACAATTAAAAATATTAAAAACAAAAAGAGTCTCATGGACTTTACAGCCTGTGCTGGCTTTGAACTGAGATCCTCAGATCTCAGCCTCCTCAATAGCTATCATTACAGGTGTGAGACAGTGGTGCCTAGT